TAAATAATTTTCTTAAATCTCTGGTTTATACTCTGCCCATTGTGAATACAAATTATAAAATTGTGCTTAGTCAGAAAAGGATGAGTTTTAATTGTGAGGATTTAAAGTGCAGATGGTCCACTTCCAATTAAATTCCAAATTCTAATATCTAGCATTGACACCGGAAATCTTAGTAGGAATGAAGTCTCCCATATATCTACATTTAGTGCAAAAAATGTAATTATATTAGAACTTTATAAAATTTTTGGAAGATCATTTTGTTGAGTAATTCTAAATGATTCAAGACTACATATATACACCATTAACTGTAAACTATGTTCTTGTGTTAAATTCCTGATAAAAGCATGTAAAACAAAAAAACCCTAACAGAATATAAGATTGTATATGTCTCTTTTTATGTGTTTACATAACCTCCAGCTCTGTGTAGCAGGGTTTTTTGTTTATGTTTTATTTTTGTTTTCTTGTTTTTTTTTTTTTTAATGATCCCAATATTGAGCAACTGGTCTTTACCAGACAGCCATTGTATTTATCAATTTCCTTCAGTCTCCTTTTTTCTAGAATAGCCATAAAATAATAAATCACCAATGCCATCATAGTTCATTGTAGTAGTAAATATGCAATAAATAAGCTAGATAAAAAGAATTTAAATTTTCAATAATTGTTTCAAATTAAATTTTTTCCAAATTTTATTTTGAATTCAAGAAATTTATCACTTCAGAAACCATTAGGGATAACAAAAAATTATAGCTATTGATAATTGTATCTGAAAATCCTCATACTGGAAGTATATTCTTAATAAAGTGTCTTTCAAGGTTTTCCCTTACTTAGAATGACTTAAAATATATTATCCAGTGAATTGGAATTTATTAAACATATGTATGTATGTGTACATAGTCTATCTCTCTTATTGAATGGGGGGGGACTTATATGGTAGAGAAAAGATCTCCCATTTGACTGTGATTGTGTTCTGTATTTCCCTACCTATGACAGACAACAAAATCATCTGAGGGCTTGTCACAACATGGTTATCTGGACCCCATTTCTGACTTCCTCATTCAATTGGCCTGCAGCAGAGCTGTGGAGTTTCCATTTTTGATGTTTTTGGTGAGGTTGAATATTCTTGTCTAGAGAACACACTGCAAGAATCTGTTGTGAAAAGCCAGGGACATAGAAAACTATTTAGAAAATATTCAACATATGGCAGATATTCAGCAGACTAAGATATGGGGGATGTAAATAAACACAAGAAGACAGCTGTCTGGTAGACAGACTGAAGAGAAACTATGATTCACGACCTTTATCCTCACAGCAAAAATAAGCACTGCTCAGATCCAATGATGTGTCGGGAGCTTTTAGGCAATGCAAATATAGATATTCCTTGATATTTTTAAAAGTCAAAATTGCCATGAAGAATTCTACAGCAATATGCAACAATGATTAATTCAAAGTTCTCCAAGATCAGTTGCGATACACATTCTCCCTTCTGCAAATTCATCATTCTTAAGAATACAACTATTTTGCTTGAGGAAGTCCTTCGTGACCTTCCTGGGACATTTCTGGCCTCTACCCGTTAGTACTCCTTAAGGGCTTCATGCCTGCCTTGTTTTCAAAGCTGTACTAAATCCATTTATATAAGCAATGAAATGAAATTATTCTTCTGCCCTCATTTGGAGAACAACTTCATCTCTAACAATAGCAATAACAAGGCTCATCTTTCTTTTGGTAAATCTATTTTAGGTTTTATTAAAGGAATAGTAATGGCTTTCTGTGCTTGAATTACTTTTATCTGTTTATCAAATTAAAGTACAAGATACTAAATTCAAGGATATTAAATAGAGTCTTCATTGTCCCAGCTCTTTGTTCAGGAGATAAAAGCTTCCAGACAAACACTCTCAGTTTATTCATTGAAAGAAACAGGGGCCATGCCCTATCCAGTTCTGTTCTCATTTATCATAACAGCTCTGCATGTTCCTTGGAAATTTCCTAGAAACGAATAGCACAGGGTAAGTGCTGGCTATGATCTGGAGAAGACATCAATCGGGCCTTTGATTTGGAAAAAGCAAGAATTAATTATATTAGGCTTCTTCATAAATGAGGAGCCACAGCATCTCATTGTTGACCCAAAGAAGATTAGAGGATCAAGATGTGTCAGCCTACAGGCATATTTTTATATGGAGATTAAAATACAGAATAAATAAAAGCAAGAAACAGGATTAGTAATTGAGAGCAAAAAGTCTCCAGCTGAATGTAAGGAAGAGTATCAGGATAAAGAGAAATCTTCAATCAAGGTTCACAGTTGAGAGAAGGAATTCCATAGATTTTTCTGGAGAAAGAAAGCTTAGGGATTAAGTGTCTTGTTGCATGGAGAGATCTGTTTCTCCCCCTTGTGGTGGCTCATCAATGACATTTATGAATCTAGGCCACACACTCTTTTAGAGCAATTATGTAGCTTCTGGTAATAAATTAGAGCTTGTTAAATCTTGAATTGGATGATAAGTCAAAACAAGCAACATATTGAAAAAGAAGACTGAAAAAGTTCTTTTCCTGTTGTTCTCTGGCCACATGCATCTTTTAAAAAACTTAATTACGATCAGTAAGAGAAATGTCTACATGATGGCACTACAGTCCTGTGAGATTGCCATTCAAATTGATCATCATATATCTAAACAACAGGATTCCTGGGAGTAGTGAGCTGTGCTAGTGAAGAGGCTGAGGCAGAAAAAACACAAGTCCAACATTGGAGTACCCTGTCTCAGAAAATAAAAAGGGCTGGGAATGTATGTAGCTCGGGGGTTGTATGGAAAACCTGGAATCATCCCCTACTAGAATCAAATCAAACCAAACCATAACAGAAACAAAAGTTACTGGGCAACACAGAAAAGTCAAATGTGTTCCGCCTCTTCTATCTTCCTGTAGTCTTAGTTTATGTTTTAATCTTTAGATGTTTGATCCACTTGAAATTTAGTTTTAATGCATGGTGAGAGACAGGGTCTAGTTTTAGTCTTAGGCATGTGGAAAACCAGTTTTTCCCGTTCTATTTGCTAAAGAGGCTGTCTTTCTTCCATTGAAGGTATTTGTCCCCTGTATCAAAGATAGGTGTCTGAGTATGATTGGAGGTGTTTCTGTGTCTTCTAATCTATTTCCTTGCAGACACAGGTATAGGCAAAGACTTTAGCCACAAACACTGATTGCATAGAAAATACTAAAGATTCAACTGCTGGGATCTCATCTTATTAAAAAGTTTTTGTGTAGCAAAAAAATCATTGGCTTAGCTCATTGAAAACAGATATTACTGTAATATTTCATGCCTATATCTTGTATTCTGAGTACTTACTATGAAGATACACAATGTTTTAATTATTGTTACTATCATATTAGCCTGTTTTAAAACTCTATTTTATTGTTATTTCTTTCTCTTTAAAATTAAAAAAAAAGAAATCATCAACAAAATGAAAAGAGAACACATGAATTGGGGAAAAAATTTTGCCAGCCATTCCTCAGACAAAAGACTAATGTCTGGAATATATAAAGAATTAGAAAATATCATATGCTCCAAATTTAAAGACTTTATCCAAAATAGTAGTTAAAAATGAATGGACACTTCTTAGATAAAAAAGTACAAATGACAAATAAATATGTGAAAAAATATTCAACATTATTGGTCATTCTAGAGATGCAAATTACAATGCTGAGATTTCATCTCACTCCAGAAAGAATGGTTATCATCAAGAATTCAAACAGTAACAAATGCCAGTGAGGCTGTGGAGAAAAAGGAACTCCTCTTCACTACCGGTGGCAGTTTAGACTGGTACAACCACTGTGTAAGTCACTGTGGAGATTCTTCAAAAATCTAGAACTAGATATCCCATTGAACCCAGCTATTTCTCTTCTTTATATATTCCTGAAAGCATTTAAAAACATCACACCACAATGATATATGCACATTCATGTTTATAACAGGGCGGTTTTTGTGGTTTTTTTTCTTTTTAATTTTTGGTTTTGGTTGTTGTTGTTATTATGTTGTTGCTGTTTAGTACTGGGAATCAAACTTACGATCTCACACTTGCCGTACAGGCGCTGTGCCCCTTGAGCTACATCCCTAGCAAACGGTGCAGTTTTTAACGGCTAAATTTTGAAAGCAACACAAATGCCCATCAACCAAGGAGTGCATAAGGAAGATTTTTTTCTTTTAATATGCTGGAGTACTACTCAGACAAAAAGAAGGATAAATTTGAGACATTTCTAGATATTCTAGATATTCTGGAGTACTACTCAGACAAAAAGAAGGATAAATTTGAGACATTTGTGCACCTTAAGCCCATCCACAGTGTTAAGTGAAATATGTTGGACACACATGTGAAAATACTGCACTGTTTCTCTAGCATGAGAAACTGAAAGTATAAATAAGGGCCAAAATGCATAACAGATATTGTGAAATAGGAAAAAAAATGTTCAAACAGAAAGGAGAACTGGGGCAGACTGGTGGGGAGAGGGAAAGGAAGGGAAAAAAATGAAAAAAGATAGAAAAATGGAAACAAAGCTTTTGTAAATAAGACAGGAAGAGGGATTGAAGGTAGGGCAGGGAAACAGAATAAAAAAGAATCAAATATATCATGTACAAGTACAAATTCCCAAAGATACATGTGATCAATATGTATATCTAAAATGTGCCAATAAACTTAATTTAAAAAAGAAAAATCAAATGAAAAAAATCAGACACTAAAGTGATGAATGAAATGAATTTTAGCTCTGTAAAATAATTTATGAGAATGCAAACCAGGACCAGTGAAATTATGCAAAATTTAAAATTGTATTGAAATGTCATGTAATTATTCTACTATTTAATACTACTAGGTAACAAACTATTAGAGTTTTATGTTAAAATGTTCATCCATTTCTTTTCTATAACATCCTTCAGTGTACACTGCATTGAAGGACTAAAAATGTAGTTTATAGGTTTATGTTAATATTTTTATGTTTTTTCTACGTTTCTTCTCTAGGACCGAAAACTCATCAACACCAACATTTTCGACTGTAGGAGGCCCATTTGTAAAGTTAAACACAGCACCCAATGACAGCTTAATACTAACACCCAGGTGAGTTCTACACGTTTTGTTCTTGGACTAGATGTTCAAGTGCTGAAAACAAGGTAAATCTTTGAAGCCAGTCAGATTGAAATGCTACCACATGTTGACAGTGTATTCTTGAAAGATACTTGACCTATTGTGTCCCTTGGGTAATTTCAGACAATATCTAAGTGATTGTTCCTGATAATGTTGCCTGTTCTCTATTCTTCCTTAGCAAATAAAATATAATTATTAAAAGAAGATTTCTGAATTTCTAGTTGGTCCTATACTTTCTCTTTTTTAAAATTTGGACTTACCTATTTATTTTTGTCTTTTTGAGAAGGAGTTTCACTAGGCAGTTCATGCAGGCCTTGAGCTCACTTTGCAGCCCAGGCTGGCCTCAAACTCACAGTGATCCTCCTACCTCAGCCTCCCAAATGCTGGGATTATAGGTATATATCACCACACCCAGGTAGGTTAGGTTTATTTTGAAGCCTTACTAAACTATCAAAAATCAGCATCCTTTCTGGTTTTAGGTCTGATTTATCTTAGACTATGACATTTCTCCTGTTAAGACACTCATGGTAATTTTTATTTTAAATTTGAAAAATTGGCTTCTGATTTTTATAGTCCTATTAAAGTCCAGCTGTGGATAAGAAGAAATTAACAGCAACAAGCAGCTGAAATTACAGTTAAGAAATTAAGATGCTAATACTGATGGATTTTGTTTAATACATTCACTGGTGCAATTATTAAGCTATTCGTGAAAAGTTAGTATTTCTGTAAACTCAACTAGTGAAATAAATTGATAGAGGAATATTTTTAGCACTAATAAAAGGCCATTGCAATTAAATGTTCTATATCAATGTTCATTGAGCCTCACTGAGTCTCATCACGGATGAAAGAAACCATCTGCAAGTAGGAAAGCAGCCATATAGATCCCTTCCTACAGGGTATGCTAAATTTATATTATCATTAGAGACCTCAAATGTTCTTATACATAGAAAAATTCATCTATTCGTGTTTTGTTTTATTTTGTGTGCCTTTTTCCTTTTTATCTGTACCGGGGATCGAACTCACGACTGCCTGCTTTCAAGGCAGGCGCTTATGCCGCTGAGCTAAATCCCCAGCCCCCTTCTATTCATGTTTTATAGATGTTTAAGAATTAAGAAAAGCAAGAAAGAAAATGGAAAAACAATTCAATTTAATTATATACATGTTTCAGAGCAGCACTATTTTAATATATACTTACCTCAAAAAATAACAAAATGCTAGTACTAATTTACACTGGCTTCACTATTAAAAGCATGTTCATTATATTTGGAAAATAAAGCATTAATACACTTTCAGCCAATAAACCAATTAAGTAAGTGGACTTAACCCCTTTCTGAATTAGTCACAATTTACTGGTTTGCCAAAAATTCAAATGCATTCATTCATTTGGTTAGTTAATTTCTGCATTTGTTTATTTAATGGTGAGGATAATGTTTAATGCCTTACAAAAGCCAGTGTTTTTTAAAATATCCTTGTACTAGTAGGTTGCAATTTTAAAAGTAAAATACGAAAAACATATCAGGAAAGGTGATTCTCTCAACTAAAAATCTACTAACCTGTATTCCCACTTTTCATACTATTTTTTGACTTATACAAGACTCAGACAATCATTTGCCATCACTGAGAAAAGGCCACTCAAAGTAAAATCAGCATTATGACCCTATATAATTAGAAATGTTAAGCAATTCATGCAGCTGTCAGCACGAAGCTCTCCTTTCTTTTCATCCTTGAGTAACCTCAGTAATGAATCTAGAAGTGAATAAAAATCTGACATAATATTATCAACCAATATTTTATTCTAAGCTTGGTTGTGGATACATGATGCAAAGTGTTTAGCAAATATCTTGTTAAATATTTATAACATGTGACAGTACTGTGGTGGAAATATGCTTGCAGTTATCTTCAATCCATGCAGAAGCTCTGGCCCTATGGTCATTTATGGTATATAAACAATATGATTTCTGTTCAAGAATTAGGAAAAGAACACTTGGGCTTATCACTAACTTCCACAAGTTCACAAAGCCAGTAAGCAATGTGAAGAGCATAACCCACGTCTGTTTGGCCACAGAGCCTCCTACTTCTCTACTCTAATATGCTATCTTCAAGATTTTCTAAGCAGCTCATTTTAAATAGAAATTCTGTAAAAGGAAAAAGAAAGAACAAACATGTACTTTTCAATATGATTAAAGATCATATTGGACATAAAATGGAGATAAATTTCTTTATTGTCAAAGTGTATATATAAGCCCTCTTCCTTCACTTCCCTCACCAAGGAAAAGACAGGGGATCATGCATGACACTGTCTTTCTTGCTACACATAATGATAACCCAGGTCTGACTTCAGGGCCAGTGCCTGGACAATAATTGTTTCTTTCCAAATCTACGAACAGACTTTAAAAGCTGGATTTACTGCTTACTCTGCATAGAAAGCAAACAAGTTACTCTTCTACAAGAAAATGTTAATGCCTCAGAATACATGGAAAAGGAGATATTAAGTTCAATCGAATTTTTTAGTTAAATATTAAATTTTTTGTTCTGTAGTTTTAAAAATGAAGTTAAGCATTGCTTAATCTGTCTGAGACCATTACAGTTGCCTTAGAAAGAGGGACGATTTTGAAATGATATTTACTGATGATTGCCGCACATGTAGAAAGAATTTTAATGAGACTTGAAAATATTCCTCAAGTACAAGTGTATATCATAAGAATTCTTAAGATCTTCCTTGGGATATGTTATCTACATAAAATATTTATGTAGAGACATTTATCTAGATACATATATGTATATCTAAAGAAATATGAATACATTAACACTGTTATTAGTAAAATATAAATGCATTTCCTGATATGTATATTGAAATTTTTCTCTGTTCTAAAGAGTATGTCAATCAGACAACATAGCTATATGTGATTTCAAGTAAAAATGTATCAAGCATGTTTCCAGGAAATACTGGATTGCTTTGAATGAACATACGGAATTGTTTTCTTTTTTGCTTCATTTCACTATTGCTGCCTGAAGTTCAAGTACTTAGCATGCACAATTAGATAAACTTCAGTACTCTAAGTAAATATAAATAGCTGAAATTATTTGTGTGTATATTCCTGCATATTTTAATGTACCAAATATCTGCAGTAGCTGCACTGGACCCTGTGGTTAAGTACAGTACTATAATTCCTTGTGTTATGCTGATCTCTAGTGGTCAATTTGTATAACACACTGTGAAACAATTTTTCTTTGTTTCCGGTCCTAATTAAAATGGAATTCTTGGCTTTAAAATAAGGTAGCATCTAAAGTTTTGAATAAGTAATGAATTTTTAAGTAATCTATGCATGTACTTTATTTTATATTTGCTATTTATTTGTCTTCCTGCCTTGAAGCAAGACCTGTGGCTCATTCATAATGCAATTCTTTGAATGATACCAAATAGTTGTGGGATTAGCAATGCTGAGAGCGATCCTGTACAGTAGTTGCTCTTTATCTATAGCTTTATTTCCGCATTTTTAGTGACTCATGGTCAAGCATAGTTTAATGATACTATATGGAATTTTTTAAGTATGTTTTAAAATATATGCTATTCTGGATAGCATAGTCACATCTTATGTTGTCTTGCTCTGGCCAGCCCTTCATCCAGCATGTACACAAATATGATAGATCCACTATTTTTCCATTAGGATTTATGAGTTGATGCAATTGTTAGATTGAGTTGGAGTATCTTAGGGCTTGCATTCAGGTAGTCCTTATTTTTTATTTAATAATGACCCCCAAAGCACAAGGGTAGTGATGCTAACTTTCAGGATATGCCAAATGGAAACCGTGATGCATTCCCTTTATTAAAATTTGAATTGTTTTATTTGACAAAGAAAATAGATCATATACTAAGGTTCCAAAGATCTTCAATTCATCGTAAGAATGAGTCTTTAGAACATGAAATTGATGATGCTTTTGCTGTCACAACTCAGTATGTAAACTTATAGCCATAATGTATGGTATTTACTGATAGTGAAAAATGCATTAAATTATTTAGCTCAGTAGTGTCTGTGGTTTCAGTTGTCTTCTGGGGATCTTGAAATGAATTAATGTTCACAAAGATTTAGTAGTAGTGTAGGGTGCAAATGTCTCGATTTTACTTTACATGCGGCCATTTCCTGCTGTGAATTTCAATCTTCTTGTAATTTATACATGATACATGCATTAAAAACTTACTTTGATCAAACAAGCTTCAGAACTGACACTTGAGTTTATTTTGAAACACTAAGCACATAATTTTTAAACTATATTATTCTTCTATTCCAGTGAACAGTGCTTACAGGATTCTCTGATATTGTTGCAATGTAACCATAAATGTAAGTAAACATTTTGTCATGATAAAGTTTTCTGAAAAAAGTTTTATGTCATCTAAAATTATTTTTCAGCCATTCAATTTTTAATGTTCCAGAGAAATACAGTGATAGGTCAGGTGTCAAAAGTTTTCAAACTTGAATTTTCTACTACTCAATCAGCAAAGTTAGAAAAATACCTTTTTGGTGCTCATAACTTTACTCTGTAGTCAAACCACATATCCGACTTGGACAAACCCATACCAGGCTAAGAATAAGTCACATGTGGTCACAAATGGGTGATGCTTCAGTACAAGTACTGCTCTCATTCAAACAACAAACAGTACTTGTGTTAGTTCATTAAAACACTCAACATTGTGATTTTTGCGTGTATTATCTGCATATAACACCATAACCATAGCTCCAAAGAAAGATAGTGATACCAGCAATAAAGCTCAGAGGAAAACTGAGAACCATGATAAAGTTAAAGCAAGAAATCATTGTAAAACTTTGTAAAGTACTGGAAAAATGAAGTGTAAGTGGTTCTGGGCCTTACAGTACATTAATTGGTTTACCCTTATTTCTTATGGGAAAAAATATTTAGTTAGCTGGGCATGATGGCACACTCATGTAAACTCAGCACTTGAGAGCCGAGGCAGGAGGATCATTGTGAATTTAAGGCTAGGCTGGACCCCATAGTGAGTTCAGTGCCAGCCTGAAATACATGAGACCCTGTCTCAAAGAAAAAAAATCATTTCTTGAACTTTTCAGTGTTCAAATACCAATTTGGAACATATTGAGTTTGACAACTAAGGTATCACTATACCATAAAGTAAAATATTTGTTCTTGCTTTATTTTAATAGCATGTGGAAAACGATTGGTGGATCAAGAAGTTAGTCCAAAGATTGTTGGAGGAACTGATGCCAAAGAAGGGGCCTGGCCCTGGCTTGTTGGTCTCTCTTATAATGGCAAGCTAAGCTGTGGTGCATCTCTAGTCAGCAGCGATTGGGTGGTGTCTGCTGCACACTGTGCATATGGGTGAGTATGATGTCACACATCCCTTCCCAAACATGGCTGGTGCTGCAGACGCTGTCAATCATCCTACTTCACGCAGACTCCCAAAACCATCCCTCCTGGGAGGTATTTTTGACTATTATGGTGTTATAAACTTTCTGATCATTTTCCATTTAAAGCGTCTGTAAATCATATATCAAATCTTATACAAATAAAATTCAATTAAAAATTATGAGTTATATATATAGATATCAAAATTTGTGTTTCCTATGTACATGGAAACTGCAAATCTTGACCTAGTCAAATAGGTAAAATATTTTTGGATTGTGGAATGAACAGTGTTTGATGTATAAATTGTACTTGTTGTCATTTAATTAGGATAATATTTACTGCTTACAAATAGTCAATATCAAATAATATTCATAGGGAGCCTTCAAGTTGCAAATATACTTTGATCTAAAAATTCATATATAAACACTTTTTGTGAATAAAAATTTTAGTTCTCAAGTTAGATCTACTTTAATGGTATGTGAGACTAAAATTGAAGACTAATATCAACATATTTAACTCAGCTTTTTGTTCAAAAATAGCGTAAATTATATTCCAAATGCTATCATTTATTTTGTCTTTCTGAAACCAGTCGCTCCTAGAGCTGCGGCCCAGGAATAGAGACTGTAACTCCAACGGGCAAGGAGAGAAGGAAAAAATAAGCCTGGACCTGGAAACATGCTAATTTTTTCCTTCCACACAAGTGCACACCTCTTTAGATAGTTCTGAAGTAATAAAGAATGAAAAAGGGGAAAAGGTAGCTTCCCCTTAAGAGATTTATGAGCAGGACCTAAAATGATTCCCTGCCTCTGACTTGGCAAGACTGCCAGGGAGTGACCCTACCTGTGAGGATTAGGGTGAATCTCTCACACCCGACCTGTGTGCTCAGCCTTGGAAAAGACAGCTGTAGTTAATCAGACTAAAGACCAAAACTCTCTACTGTCACGGACAGTGAAAATTTTTGTGTAAATAAAAACACATTGTCAGACAGAAAGAGGTTTTATGAAAGCTTTGAAAATGGAGAGCGGCAAAGAGAATGAGCATTAAAGAATTGTGATTATGCCTGAGTACCCTAGGTACTAGAATAAGAATAATTTCAATAGTTTGACCCTAGAAATCTGGAAACAGAGGACTAGGCTGGCCAACCTGCTGGACTCCAGGGGAGCTGTCTAAGTGAGATACTGTCCCATATACATCTAAAGCTCTCTGATACTGTGCATTGGGTACTGTATCTAGGTTAGTTCTAGTGTCGCTCACATTCAGTGTGCCCTGTCTTGATTTCTACCTCTTGATAAGTACCCTTTTATCTGTTTTTAACCATCCCATAACAAGATTCCCAGAAATCAATTTTTCAACCATCTGTTAAATACAGTTTTAATCTTTACTTATACATATTGTTTGCTTTGAGCAAGTCACAGATGGATAGCATCTATATCATAACTTTGCTGCAGACAAAGGAAGTTTAAGGTAAACTATTAGTCATTTATGTCACATATAGCTAGTTGTTACAACTTTGCAATATTACCACTGGATTTGGTACATTCCTCTGTTTGATGTTCTTCAGACCATAGCTTTCTAAATGTCAACCAGGCTTGCAGTAATATTAGTGACATCTTTCAATTATCTCCCTTACAAGTGTACATTTTATGGGTCAGTGACATCAATATCCTATCGTTTAAAACTACAGATATGTGAAGGAAATAGAAATCCAGTTTCACCCATTGTAAACACAACACAGCACATAAAATGTCTTCACAATGTCAAATTGAACACAAAAGAACAAAGATGAGCTGTGCTAGAATTGTGATTAATTCGGAATTATCCTTACAGTTTAAATCTGACTATCTTAAGTCATTTAGTGGAACTACTTTTTATTTCTCTAGTAGCCAAGAGATTTTATGCCTTTTTTGCTTCATGTTTCTAGCAAAGTATAAAAGTTTGACACTATCTTAGATATTTTTATAAAAATGCTTTTATCAGCATGCTAACACTGTTACTAAGATCTTTAAAAAACCCTAATTATGCTGTGAAAACTTTAATTTTTTAGTGAGAAGGGTAATCCAGATAAAGCAACATATTGAACCCATACTACACAAATGGCTTGTTTTGAATGCAAACTTATTCCAGGAGTTTTTCTTTTTAAAATCTTTTTTTTTTTTTTTTCAGAAAATAATAGTGTACTATTTCTTGTAGTTTGGTCATCAGGGTTGGCTCAACCAGTTCTGCTTTGGTGGGGTGTACTGGTCTAAAAGCCCAACATGGTGGCTTCATCACTTTTTCTGGCACCTGAGCTGAGATGATTGAATATAGTTGGAGGCGAGCTGAGCTTTTCTCTTTCCATATAGCATTTTAATAGTTTGTTCTTTCTCACGATGGCCTTTAATTGATGGTGGTTGTTGCAGATCAGATTTAAATTGGCTGCCAAATCTCATGTTAGCAGGTGGTTGAACCATGTAAGCACTGTGCTTATCAGTGGACTCATCCACTACTTAGTTCAGTAGCTGAATGTGCTGCTCGGTGGAGACGCCTGGTTGGAAGAGGACCACTGGGTGCAGAGCATGGAAGTGTGTGTTCGTGCACTGGGTTCCTCCCTTTGTTCTCTACTCACTCACCTGCACCGTTTCCTCTACCATCACCTCTGCCGTGCTCTTTCTGCCTTGGAACCAGCTGACTTTGGACTAAGTCGTAAGCCAAAAAACACCTCTCCTAAGTTGTGGTATTTTGTCAGGGACAAGTGACTCACACCACTATTCAGGGTAGATGGACTTCTTTTATAGTAGTTCAGACAACATTTCATTTTTGGCACAGTTACTCTTTTGAACTATTTGCTAATAGGTAGTGATTGAGCCTCTTTGCCCCAAAATATTTTGGTGTTATATTACTGAAATCAAGGATATTTTCCACCATATTCATAGCAAATCATGGAAATTTATACTAATGTGATATAATTATATGATTAATTTTCCCAAATGGTTCCTATATTTGTTTGCCATTTAGGAACCAATTTAGAATACTGCATCTCAGGTAGATGCTGTAGTAATTTTTTTAATATTCTTGATTGGAAATAATCTTTTTCTTTCTCTTTGCTTTTGATATTTTTGAAAAAAAAATGCACTGATTTTATAGAAAGTGTTTTATTTGAGGAAACTATTCAAGCTTGCTTCTGTATTGATCTTGCTATGTTCCCATTAAGTGGGAGCCTCTTTGTTTTGTTTTTATTGTTCTTGTTGTTTTCAAACATGCTTTCTTTGGCTGAGCCCTCAATTTTCCTTCTTTTTGAGAAAATCCAATTACATTGACCTAACACATTAGTTCTTTCTACATTGCAGTAAGATCTTGTATACTATGGCCAATGTTGGTCTGTCTCCCTCCTAAATTCTCTCAATAAATACAACTGTGTACATTTGCACATGAATACAAAATAATTATTCCTGTTCAAATAAAATACTGAGGGTACCTTGTAAGTGTGTCTCTTCATGTATTTGTTACAATATTCTTACTTTCAATAATGAGAAATTTTGTCCTAATATCTCCAAAATATATATTTGCTTGTATTCAATCTTAGAGCATAAAAAGTAGTTTGAAAATTACCAATTTATGCTATGTGGGCGACAAACTAGTATATCAACAAGAGCTCAACATTTTTCATTTTTTTAATGCTAACATATTAAAAATGCATAATCTAAAGTGTAAAATTGGATGTATTTTGGAAATAAATAAACCTGTGAAATCAATACCTCTTTCAAAGTTAGAACACCTCCATCATCAAGACGTTTCCTTCCTTCAACCCTTTCCAATTAATCACCATCCGTACTTTTAGAAGCAACCCTTATTGAGTCAGTTTGGTGGGCAATCACGCATAAATTCAGTGTCTGGATCACATTTATTGAATAGACATATATTAAAGATAAAATTAACCACAGACAGCCTCTTGCCAATCTCTCATTCTTTAATTTAGTTCAGCAAAGTAAACCAAGTACATCACATGGTTTACATGATTTCTCATTGAAAAAAGCCCTTGAAAAAGTTTTTAACATTCCTGAATAGATAATTCCATATATTTGAGTCATGGTGAAAAATAAACTCCACTATGCATACTAAGTTTGTTAAAATGATATCAATAATAAAACTTTGAAACCAACTTTTAAAATGGTAAACATTGATCACAGAATAACATTATTTAATTGATACTAAAATTACAATTTAAAAATAGAATTCTTTTGAATGTCTCATACAGATTAAATAAAATAGAATACAGGCAAAGAAAATATTTTAATGAACATTTACTTGCCACTTAAACATATCTGAAAAATATACAGCATGGATTTAGTTTGATTTCTCTGATCTACTTATTCTTATGGCTTTAAGGAATTAGACTAAAACTGACTAAGTCAGGTTGCAAGAATACTATAATACCATTTCATTATTATAGCAATTTTAGAAGATCAAAAAGAAACATTGAAGATGTAACTCAGTGGTAGAACACTAACCTCACATAAGAAAAGCCCTGATCCCCAGCATTTAAATAAAGAAAAGAGAATTTTCTTAAGACACCAGCTATCTCAAGGTTAGTTTACTGACGTTTGACTTTAGTTAGCATATCGGTTTTGGTTCTTTTTATAAACTAGTTTAAAACTCAGCTAGCAGTAATACTTTTGAAAGTTAAAGTTTATGACTTTCTTATAGGTTTTACCAGTTTAAAATATTCTCTCCTCTTCAAATTATTTATTCTTTACATTTCCTTTGATTTATATTATATATCCTATTTTCTTTATACCACTCTGTTAGTACTACTTTAATGTTATTTTAAGCATGTATCTTTTAATTATTAGTTCATGCAGAAACCTTATATTCTAGAAGTTTCAGTCTCAAATCGCTGAAATTATCTATACATTGAGAACCAAGTCATCATCTTAAATCTTATGTCTGAAACCTCTTTTTTCTTATTTGCTGCAACCACTTGTGCTAACATGATT